CGGGAAAGGAGGGAGGGGTGGGGGGGAGGTGGTTTAAAATTTGGTTTTGTTTCTCATTACTCCTCTCTGAGTTAGTTGGTAATAAATTACATTTCCTTTCAGTTGAGTCTGTTTTGTCCGTGATGGTAAATGCTGAGTGATCTCCCTGTCCTTATCTCAACCCCACAAGCCTGTTATTTTTTTTCTCTTCCCTCTCCTGTCCAGTTAAGGAGGGGCAGTGATAGAGTGGCTTTGGTGGGCACCTGGCATTTTGGCCAGGATCAACCCACCACACCTGTATTTATATTACAGAATCCTTAATGGTTGTTTTTTCTGCTAGTCTGTGAACATTTTCTGATTTGCTTCAGTTTTTTCCCACCTTCTAGTACAATACCTAAGCCAATCTGCTTAAGCAAAGTTAAATCACAGGCCCTTTTATTAAAAACAGACTGCATCGTTAGTGATTTTTAAAGAGTTACTCAGCCTCATGTCTGAGCCTTTGTGGATTCAGGTGAAATGCTACACAAGGGCAACATTTGACCTTTTCCCCATATGTATTTTATAAATTGAAAAGGGAGCCAGAACACAAACAGTATTTAATGAGTTGCCTTTCTCTTGTCTTTAATTAGGATGCCTGTGCCTTGGTGATGAGCAAAATTTTAGAAGGCATCCAGAAGAATGAATCTGCCAAAAATAAAGCCAGTGAAAAACTTGTGAATGTCTCTGCAAGTGCCTCCACCCAAGCTCCAGGGTTCACTGCAGGCTTGGTTATTGATGGAAGGGCGTTAGAGCATCTCCTTCATGACAGCCTACAGAATACTTTCTTGGAGCTCACAGGAAAATGTCGGGCTGTAGTCTGCTGCCGAGCCACACCACTGCAGAAGAGTGTCCTGGTCAGACTGGTGCGAAATAAGCTAAAGGCAACAACATTAGCTGTAGGTGAGTCCTGTGGTTATCTTCTTTTCTCTGAAAGCAAGTAGAAGCCAGTTTCTTCTTCCTATATTTTTGTTAATGTTTGTCACAAAATCTTTTTAACAAGGAGGATAATCCTCTGAACTGTAGTTGTCTCTGCTGTAAGATGATGTTAGTCTTCTGAACTAGCGCATTTAGTCCATACGCTTACAGTAATCTGAAATACCAAGAGCAGCAGCAGTCGTGCACTGCATTATGTAACGTGTCCAAAGGAGTAAGGAAGGGGATTTTCCTTGTCATTCTCCATCACAACCCCCCCAAAATAGGGAGAGAGAGGGGAGAGGACTGGCTGTGATTTAAAACACCTGTGTTGTCTGTTCCAACTAAATTCCAACAAAAGAAACAGCGAATATCCGTTTGGAGAATGTAGCTCGGTTCAGTCAGGCCTTCCGCTTACTAATCCTGCTTTCTGTAGGGTTTTCCGTCAGCTGCACCGTTACCCACACAGGTGTTTTTCTCTGAACTCTGCAGTGTTCTTGTATGTTTGTCTTTTCCTGATACCTCCGTGGCGACGTGATAGTCGGGAAATCTGCCTCCAGGTTGCATTCCAAATAAGAGAGGTTAGTTCTGAGTTCACCTCTTTTCTTTTTTGTGTAGGTGATGGTGCCAATGATGTCAGTATGATCCAGGTGGCTGACACTGGCGTGGGGATATCGGGCCAAGAAGGCATGCAGGTAGAGTATACAAAGACAGCTGCAAATGACATCAGATTCCATTGTAAATCAGTTCAGAGTTTACCCTGGAGGCCCAGTGGCTCCACAGTCCATTACCGTACACGGGCAAGAGTTTGCAGCCTGAGCTCACACCCAGGCCTCAGCACTGTTCCAGGAGCACTCAGAAGCTGGATGCTGCAGGGATTCAAACTCCAAAGGAAGGAGCTTGCTGCCTGTCACCGAACTCCCTATTACTCATGTCCTGTCAGGAAAGAAGCGGCCTAAGCAGCAGTGATTTCTGTGTAGTTGTGTGGTAATAATAAAGGCAGCCATGTTCCTGCCCGTGCTGTGTGCGGCTGAGCTGTGTGTGTTAGTGTGAAACGTATGGAGGAGCTCAGGTCTGAGTGAGGGTAAGACCATAAGCACTATATATTAAAAAAATAATAATAAAAAATCATAAAATAAGAATTTTCGACAGCAGGTAAGTTGCTCACTTGGCAGTGTCTGAAGCTTCTCTTTAACAGTTTGGATATGACATATCCTTTCATTATGTGCATTGCAGGCTGTGATGGCAAGTGACTTTGCAGTCTCTCAGTTTAGACACCTCAGGAAGCTGCTGCTTGTCCATGGTCACTGGTGTTACACCAGACTTACCAACATGGTGCTTTACTACTTCTACAAGAATGTGGTATGTAGCTGTCCCATCCCAGGGAAATCACAGTTTGTGTATTTGAGAGCGCTGAAGGGTTTAGTGGGGCTTTATATTCTTTTTTAGTTTCTGTTGTGAATGGGTTCAAAAAGACACAAAACGCATGTGTCAGACAATTCAGTTTCCCATTTATGTCTGCAAAGACCAGAGGCTCTTACTCCTTGGACTGAATTTCCCACTCAAAACCATTGTCTGATTTGAATAAACCATGCGTAACAGGCATTATTAATGTGGTGGCAGCATGACTTTACACAAGTCGTGTCCAATTTTGAAATGTAAAGCTCTGTGTGAGTCAAACATAATTTCAAAGTGTGGGATTGGCCTGAACTCCACAGCATTTATACTTAATTTTCCAGATTACTGTAACCAGACCTAAGATCTGCCTGTTTTCCTCCTGGCTTTTAAAACACTTGTCTATGGTAACATTTTATTATGTCACCTTTGACTTTTCAGGCGTACGTGAACCTCTTGTTCTGGTACCAGTTCTTCTGTGGGTTTTCAGGCACATCAATGACTGACTATTGGATCTTGATTCTTTTCAATCTCCTTTTTACATCGGTGCCACCCATCATTTATGGTGTCTTGGACAAAGATGCGCCTGCAGAGCTACTCATGCAGCTCCCACAGCTGTACATGATAAGCCAGAAATCTGTGGTAGGTTAAAGAATGCTTGGCCTGAAGCAAACTGAAATGGTCAGCATTTGAGCCATTTCTGTCTGTCTTTCCTTCATAGTTCACATCAGGCAAACGTGAAGTTTAAAACCACTTTCTCTATTAGAAAGGCCTGTGCAAATAAAAGCTGTTTTTTCAAAAGTTTTTTGTAGGCTGTTTTCCGCTGTGCACCTCATCCTATCAGACATTTGGGTGATAAGAGAAATTAAGGACTTAGGTGAAGCGATGTACTAGGTAAACATCATTACCAGCGTGTTCACTTCATTCACTGCCTCAGCTGTCAGCGCACTTCGAAATGGGTTTCTTTTGAGCAGCTGGGCTTACTTTTAAAGAAAAAAGGCACTAGGTCCTGGTTTTTTGCTGTCATATAAGGGTCTCAACTGCCAGAGTAATGAGGAATTAATAAGAACCAGAGCAGATTCCTTTCAAATAATCCTCAAGAAAGTTCTGTCATTTGAGGTTCTTTTCCCTGTATGGGTACGTTCTGGAATTTGCTGCTGGCACTTTTGTCCCCTCTGAAACCACTGTACATCATGTCTGCTCTGTAAGTAAATTCTCTCCAGCCATTTAGCACAGAAAACTGCAGGGCGTAGGGGGTAGTTTCTAAATCAAAGTTATATAAATTCTTAAGCTTTTTCCTGGTCTCTCCGTTGCTCAGCATGAATTCTAGTATAATTTTAACTGTCATTTTAAAAAAATATAACATTTAATTAAAGTAGTGTTTTTATTGTAACAATTGAAGGCACTGACGTGCTGAGCCTGAGACAGAATAGGTACTAGTAGCCCAGAGAGAGAAAACATTGAGCATACGAGTCACCTAAAACTCACCATTTTCTTTATGATCATAGCCTTTCAATAACAGACTGGACACAAGGAAGCGTTTCTTTGCCAAGAGGGTTGTCAAACACTGGAACGGGCTTCCTAGAGAGGTGGTCGGTGCCCCAAGCCTGTCAGCATTTAAGAGGCATTTGGACAATGCCCTTAAAAGTAGGCTTTAACTTTTGGTCAGCCCTGAATTGGACAGACAGTTGGACTGGATGATCGTAGGTCTCTTCCAACTGAAATATTCTAGTCTAGTCTATTCTAGCAAATACTATTACAAAAATGAGCTACAACATGTTGTGTACTAGTTGTGCAGCCTCGTCTGTACAGCCCGGCAGGTTTTACACCTGGCAGGTCTGGTTTAGAAGGGGAAGAAGGATATGCAGTGAGGGGACAATTTGTTCTGTTTGTTTGTTCTACATTTCTTTTAACATACCCTTAAATATTTTGTGTTGCCCATTAACGCTATATTTGCAAAACTAAGTACTCTTTTGGTACCAATCCAAGCCTCTCTAGACTGGCTGGAGCAGGTCTGTGCTTTGTCAATCATAGAGGATTTTGACTAAATAAATGTTACAAGGCCTCAGGATTTGGCCGTTTGTTTTGATCTTCAGGATACGTACAGTGATCTGAGCTGAGATGAAGTTTTGAGGCAGCATAGTCATAATTACTGCATTACAGAATAGTTTTTCTCTTTCTTTTGTTTTTTTCCTTAACTTTTATCAGAGTTTTCCTCTTTTTGTCCAGTACAGCATTGCCTTGCCCTGTGGTTGATGTTGTTCAGTAGTATATCATTTCCTTTCTTGCATGGAAGCACAATGAAATAATTTCTTTGAATTAAGTGCAGTACAGAAGAAAGATAAATGCTTTAGAAGATGTAGTATCACACTAATGCATGATGACATCACAAGTGCACAGCTCTGTACAAGCTATAAAAATGGACAGTAATTTGGATTCATCATGGGTAATTTAGAGCGTTTCCCTTACAGGTAAGCAAGAAGATAGGTCTCACACAGCACCTCCAGAGAGCAGTTCAGTTCTTGAAAGGGCTGAATGGCTTTTCAGAGAAACCCATCTCTCTCCCCTAATTGTAGAGAAAGTCCTGGGTGACAAGACTGCTCACCTGTGTCTCTCAGTTTAGTGCCTGAAGGAATGGGATGTATCTGAGCCAGGGCACATGCAGCTGTGGTTTCATAAGCGGTTGAGCTGTCATAGCAGTTTGCTGCCACTGAGTGAGGAAGGGTCTTTCTTTCTCCTGTTCTCCCTTCTTTCTTTCCTGTTCCCTGTTTTCACCCACTTAGTTAAACTACCTTCCCTGTGCCAGCTCGGTTGTCCCATCAGATCATTCCAGGAACCGATTTAACTCACTGAAACAGCAGCGTGTTGTTCCAGCAGGAAAGTGACTTGATTTCTCACATTCTGGTGTGTTAAGTTAGCTCACAGAGGAGTCCGATCTGCACCGTCAGCCAGCACAAATTAAGAGGCAGAAGCACTTGTACCAAAAAGAAGGGGGTGGACCTAGAAGGAAGCAAGGGACTTGGCGGTCAATGATGTAAGCTGCTAGGGTACTTCGCGGTGCCCTTGCCCTCGCCTTCCGTTAGGTAAGGCTCTGGGAGGTCTGTTGCGGCAGAGACAGCTGTAGGATTAGCATTCCCAGATCTGGCTGCTGGTTTAGGTACTAACGGCTACATGTGTGGAGCGAGCTCTTTACTATTATGATCATAACACAAAAGATGCCTCTTCGTTGGGAAACTAACTGGAATTACTTCTGCAGATAATCTTTCCCCAAATCCAAATTAATGCTAATTCAGGATGCAGCAGTGTGTTCAATTTGTTTCAATGCCATTATCTTTTTTTTCTTACAGGCTTACTTGCCTTCAGCTTTCTGGATAACCTTGCTGGATGCTTTTTACCAAAGCCTCGTTTGCTTTTTCGTGCCTTATTTTGTAAGTGCTGGATATGAAATACACATTTTGACATACTAAAAACTTAGGCAAATTAGAGAATAAAACGAAGTGTTTGATTTTACTTCCTCATATGTAAATGTGTACTAACAGGATTGTCATTGGAACTGAGCTGAACTGCATGCATGCAAATATGTATGGTATTGAAAATAGCGATGCCACTTTGTGTATGAGGACTGTATGTAAAGAATGCATCGCGCTGACCGCTGCCTTCCCTTGCAGACCTACTGTGGCTCAGACATAGACATCTTTTCTTTCGGAAACCCTATAAACACAGCAGCGCTCTTCATAATACTGTTTCACCTTCTCATTGAGTGCAAGTCTGTGGTGAGTACTTTGTTTCTAAAAGAATATATTCCTAACAGAGTATGTGCATACAGCTTTCATTAAAATTAAATGGAAGAAAGAGCTTCATATACAAAACAGAGTAAGTATAAAAGGGCCAAAACCTAAATATTTTGTTTAGGTGACCATGTGAGCTCTCCTAATGCACCTGTCACTGAAGCCAATCAAATTACTCGTATGACTAAGATTAACAAAATGTGGCCTCAGAATTATTTGTAAATAGCAAAAGGATCCTGCCTTGTTAGGGTATGATGGTTTTGGTGATGTCAGTTTAGTTTGGCAAATGGTAAAGCCAACCAGTGATCAGCTGAACCTTCATCAGTTCCCGAAGCTTGCATCTCCAAGGCAGCAGTGTGAACTGCTGATTTTGAATGCTTGGAACTGATGACCTGCTCTGTGTCCAGGGTAAACAATTCAGAGGTATATTGTGGTGCCTGAACTAGAGAACTGGTATGCTACAGAAATACTAGTCCAGTTTTTAATTAAGTCTGTGCAAGGTAAAGCATCTGCATTAGCTTGGATAAATTTTCAGGGTAATATTTTACTATTTTGTATAATTTTAAAGAAAATACAATAATATTTACAGTTAGGACACTGATTAAGGGATTTTATTTTTTCTCTGTCATTTTTTTGAAAAATACTTTTCAGGATTGTTTCATAATAGATGAAATTTCCAGTTGTGATTCAGTCTTTTCGTTGTTCTTTCGGAAGCATGACAACCGTTATAAAAATGTCTCTATTGAGAATATGTGGGTAGAATGAGTGCATCCACACTCTGAATAGGAAAACATTACTTAAATGGTATTTATTTGGCATTTTTGAATGTCGGCAAGCTGTCAGACCAATGACAGTGTTGTTCCCGTAGTTACTATTACAGCCATTCAGATAGAAAATTAAAGAAAACTCCAATGTAGAACAGGTAATCAGTGTCTCAAGCAAGATATATAAGGGTGGTGTCATGTGGAAATCTTGCCTCCATTTGCTTGAGAAGGCTTTCTCTGCTGCCAGTGGATGAGGTGGTCATCTAAGGCAAATGGCACAATAAAACGTCTTTCACAAAGGGATCAAAAGCTATGCATTTAGTAGATTTAAAAAAATGGCTGGGTTACCTATGAACTATGGGAAGAAGGGTCCATTCTTCCTGGAATGTTTTGTATAAAATTAGGAATATTATCTGAACAGATCTGTCCGCTGCTACATTAAGCAGCTGTCCTTGGAGGAAGAGGGTGTGCATGTTCATGCGTGCGCACACGTACAGGTGTTACAGATCTTTCTGTTTACAGCTTAAATCTGATTTCTTTCCTTTTCTGAACTGCAGACCTGGATACACACAGTAGCTATAGTTGGCAGCATCCTGTTTTACTTTGTCTTCACTCTGGCTTTTGGGGCAACCTGCAAAACGCACAACCCATCATCAAATCCTTATTGGATCATGGAAAAGCACATGACGGACCCGGTGTTTTACTTAGTTTGCCTCCTGACTACCTGTGTTGCTCTGCTACCCAGGTGCGTTTCTGGTTTATAGTTGAAGATCACTGTTGTTAACAAAATGAGTTTTCTTTGAATCAGTGATGCTATAAATCTCTCCGGCTAAAGGTCTTCCTCCCCGACCTCCCCCGCAATGTAAAGAAAATTTCATAACTCTACCAGACCAAGCCATGTGAGGGCAGCTCTGTAGTGACATGTTCTCCAGGAAAATTTCAGTAAATAAAAAAATTCTTCTGTGATTTTATGTTATATCAAATATTGTGTTTGGAGAGGAAAAAAACCCAGTAATCTCTGTAACCAGAGAGTTTATAATTTACATATGAGTCAGTTAAATTAGTGATCAAAGTTGAACACGTACTATACACATAGAGGTACTGTGCTTAGCCTGTGTTACCCCGGCCCTTCATTGAAGTTGCAAATGCACGTTGCCACAGTAACTAGTCAGTAGAAGAGCCGTGGTCAGGACAGAAGGATGGAAGCACCTGAGATCGGTATCTGTCTTTGGAAGTGCTGGTTTTAAAGCATGTTCTGGTGCAGCTGTTGGCTGTATAGTTTATGTTCTGCAAAATGGCACCTGCAAAGACTGTTTCAGAGGATGGTGCAGCCTCAGGGTTACCTGAATGGCGTTTGATTTCCTTTAGTGTTGCTGGAAACAGTTTTGAGGCTGCTTCTAAACAGCGTGTTTGAAACTTTGTTAATTTTGTAGATATTTGCTGAGAGTTCTCCAAGGAACATTGTTTCCATCTCCAGTGTTGAGAGCCAAGCACCTTGACAGACTGACCCCCGAGGAGCAGAGGGAAGCAATTAAGACACAGAGACACAACCGCATTGTAAGCTGTAGAGTGGAGTTCCAGGCTACTTCTGGGTCTTCCAGCTCAGCCACAGGTGCTGTATCAGAGGAAGAAAGCGTTTGCCGGTGTTTTGCCAACCTCTGAAACGGCTTTTCAGGCCTGTTCAAGAGATGGCTTGGTAGAGGACACCTCCTTCTTACCAGACATTCAGGATGGGTCTGGGAATCCAAATGGCTTGAACTCTGAAAAGACTGATTTCGTCACAGGAAACTAATTCAGACGCATGTGATGGTAATAACTCATGTGCGAAAGTCTCTGTGTGTGCTTCTGAAGAGGGCAGCAGTGCTGTTTCTCTAGGACACAAAGCGGGTCTGAATTCTGTTTTGTGTGAAGAAGATGCTGTAATGTATTTTGCCAGGTTGGAACGCTGACTGTTCAAAACCCAACAGTAGTAACTGCCGAGTTATGCGACGCTGTAGTTTTGTTTTCTTCAGCCAAGGCAGATGATGCACACATTTCCTTAGAAGCTTTTTTGTTTATAAAGCTTTACAGTAATTTATTAAGATCTCCAAGATCTAAATGGCTGGGTTGTATTTTTAGATTTTTTCACCCAGAAGACATTGCATACTGCGTATTTCTTGTACGCAACGTTGTGTGATGCCACATGGTGTCACGGGCAGGACATTGCGTGAGTACGGATTGCAGGATCCAGTTCAGGTAAGCCAGCCTGCTCCCTCGCACTGCTGTCCTAAAATCCTGGCCTTCCCTGGGGTTCACCACTTGCTGAAGTATAAAGTAAGCAGAAGGGCTGGGATGTAGTGCTGCTGGTTGGCTTGTTGCAAGACTCCTCTAGTATGTGTACACAGTAGCTGTTTGAGCCATTGAGGTCGGGTTTGCTCACCAGGCTATTGCATGGGCCATCTCAGTGCTGGCCAAACACAGTTTTAACCATCACAAGAGTGGTCCAGATGAGACACGTGTCACACATCTCCCTCACCTTCCTCTTCCACAAAAAGAGCAAATCCTAGTGCAGCCTTTTGTTCTCCATGATAGTTTGTTCTCCTGCTGCATCCCTCCGTTTTTGTCTCCATGTGCCATTTCATGTCATTCCCCGCTGACTGGATTTCTTTTCCTCCTTGCCTAACTCAGGTCCTGGCTGCCTGACTTTTCTCTAACCTCTGCCTCGTGCCTGCGCTGCAGAAGCAACTGCCAGTGGGAGTGGGTAGTGCCAGTCTGTCCTCAGGTCTGCTCTTACAAATAGCAGCTTCTAGCTGATAGCATTACTCTTCTTCGCTCTCAGGTGTTCTTATATTCCTCCAGACTTTTATAATAAACAGCTTAAGTCTCTCTAAAGGCTGCTGAAAAGAAGGTGTAGCTCATTGCATGTCCCAAATTTGAGCTCTGTTGCTCGTCTGTCTTTTGGAGATGTTCTGCTTCTGCCAGTTTCCCACAGCTCTGCACACTGCACAAAAGCTGGCTGAGGTGCATGTGGCTATTTCTGGATTTCAGACTGCCTAAAATATTGCCTCCATTTTACTTCCCTCCCCAAAAAGTTACATGGCCAATTTATGGAGGAACTCAGGAAATTGTTTGTATCCACTAGCACCTGTTGAAATAAACAGTTTCCTCAAACCATAGCTGCCAATGAATTATTACTATTGAGCCCATTTTTTGGTTCTGTTCCTTTCTAAAACTTTCTGCTTTCAAATTGCCAAGACTTGTGTGTTTATCTTTAGGCACCGTGTGTGGGGAAATGGCTCTGCTTTTCACTTGAACTGGAGCTTTCCACGTCAATGATCGACATTACATATTCCACATCTTTGAAGATCCCTGAAAGAATTTAAACAAATGCTGTGAGGTCTGAGATGCTGCCATGCAGGGCGCACTAAGGTCATTCGAATGCAGGTCCGCACGTGTTACCAAACATTTTTAAAAGTTCTGGTTTTGAAAGTGAGAATGTAGTTAGGGCTGGCTCCCTCCCTAGTGCTAGTGAAGAGAAAAACACCCTTTCTGTTTAGCCTGTAGAAGAAAAACAGGGGAAGGAGCCAGTGCTGACAGCCATTTCTGCAAATATTTTTTTTTAATTTGGTTCAACATACATGACAAAGTATTTTTGGTGTGTTCAACCATAAGGTTAGTGGGGACCTTTCAAGTGATTGCAGACAGTCAAATTCTAAGATCATGCTGGTTTGCAGTTACAATTTTCAGATGTTTGTAGCATCCTTCATGCTGCAGGGGAACTTGCCAGGAGTGGACTCCAGGTGTCCCAAGTGAAACATCTCAGCTTTCTCTACGAGTCACGGGGACTGCGAGGTGTCCAAGAGGAAGGAATGGCCAGCAGGTTGTGCAGGAAGGTGAGCTGAGCAGAATGGTGCAGGAACAGACTTGCCGGGACTCAGTGAAGCATCTGCTCTGCTCCGCAGCCCCACGGCAGGCGCAGCTCTGCCCGGCTCATTCCTGGCAGGTGTTCTGCTGTTGACAAGCGCTCCAGGGAGGCTGGCCAGGCCAGGCCAGGCCAGCGCTTCACTGCCCTCAAGGTCAAATACTGGTTTTGTTTCTGTTGTCTGTCTCACACGCTTGTTTCCTCTGTGCCTTACTTAAATCCATGGCCTCTCTTTCTTAGGGCCAAAGAGAACAGATTATTCTGGTTTATGGTTCTACCTGTGACTCAGGTACGTGGAGGAACTCTGTGACTTGCAGTGACCTGAGGGAGTGCAGGGCTCGGCTCCCACTGTAAGGAGGAGTTTGGGGGACAGCATGGGCCCGTGACCTGCCCTCTTGCTGCCTCTGCTGCAGGGGCAGAGCCTACCAGCGGATTTGGCAGGTAGCTGATCATTTAGTCTCAGCAGTTCGCACTTGGAATGGTACAACAACACATGTGTGCGCACACTCACTCCTTTTTCCTTGGTGTGTGGTTTCATTGATGGTGCGTGTTGTTTAAAATTGTCCACTGTAGGCTGTGTTGCTGTAGAGGACTTTGACAGACAGTCTAAGTGATAAAATTATCTGTTCTGTAAAAGCCGATCTCTTCCTTTTTTTTTTCTTTGGGTTTGTTTGGGGTTTTTTTGGTGGACAAACAGCAGAAATATCTAAGGGCTAAGAAATACCTGCTGCGATCACCTGCTATTTTTTTTACTAAAGGGGAGATGAGGATAGTAAGTCTTTAACAAAAGCTTCAAAATGTTAATTGGCCATATCTAAGGTGGTGCCAAATGACGGGTGCAAGCAAATTGCTCTCCTTTTGCTTCTCAGCAGTTGAATGTTTCCTTTATTTTTTTTTTCAGTACTGGAGACGTCATGATCCCCTGCTTGCTTCTGCACTCCTGCACTTAGCCACAGCATGACCTGACTTTTCCATTCTGAAAACAAGTTTTTTAAGACCATTTCACAGGTGCCTTCCAGATGTCATGAAGGAAAGCAGGGCATTTACACTTTTGAGTGTCCGTTTAAAAGAAACCAAAACAACCATCCTCAACTCCTCCAAACATTGTAGCTATACCCAAAGCAGCTTTAAATCACTGTTTTATGTGCAGTATTTGATTTACAGAAAAAAATATGCTTTTTTAAAAGTTTTTTTTTTTCACAGCAGCTGTACCTGAGCTAAACATTTGCAGGTGGCAGTCAGCCGCAGCCTTTAGTTAGCGAGTTTTGGCAGCGCAGTGAGCTTCAGTCTGTCCCTGGGGCACGGTTTGGGCCGAGCGTTTAACCCAAGCTGTGGTTTGCCCTGAGCCCTGCCGGACCAGCTGAGGCAGAGCACGCACCGCTCCTGCCAGCCCTGGCTCTGCTGCTGGTCAGGCCAGCCCGTGCTCTCCGCGGCAGCTATTGGACAAGTTCTGAAGGTGACTGTGTTAAGAACACTGTCATCGCTGAACTTCAGTATGGTTTTTGTATTATTCGTTCCTGGTTTATTCTGGTTATGTTGTCCTACTGTTGACCACAGTGAAAAGGCAAATTTTAACTACCCTCAATTTCTGCATGCTGATTTTGATTTCAGTGTGTCTATATGTTGAAATGCTGCATGCCACTTTAAAAGGAGGTGGTTATTTCAAACTAATTGTGTTCCTGAGGAAAGCCATAGAACAAACTGCGTTCAGAGAAATTCGATGGCAGCTTTAGTTTGTCAGATTTTTCAATCCAGAGTAGTTGTTGGTGCGGTATTCTTGGCAGTACTCTGGCTTGGAAGCTTACATGCAGAAGAAATGAAAGCTGTACAGTGGTGGTAGTGCCAGAACCTCCACAAGTGGTGTAGTGCTAACAGGGCTGTCAAGGCTGTGTAAAAAAGCTAGATAAAGGTATGCAAATAGCTTTGTAAGGCTATTTTTAGGCATTATTGCTAAAGTTATAACCTCACACCTCCATACTGCCATTGAGTCTCTCTCTAAAGAGTAAAACACATTTTCAACAGAAGCTACTTGGAAAATGATTGTAAATTTTTATTGGTACAGCTAGAAAGAAACATATCTGCTTGACTGTATGACATTGCTTCCATGTGGCAGAAGTAAACCCAACAATTGTTACCTTACAGTGAGGCTACATGTGTAAGAGAGACAACGTAACTGTGATCATAGCTGTGATGTCAGCGCACAGGGAAAGGCTTGATACAGTGGAAGGAGGAGCATGTCTGCTTATTTCACGTGCACACATAAAAAAAGCTGTATAAAAATACATTTATAAAATTAGAAATTTCCTCTTTACATGGAATGTTGTGTCAGACAGTTGTGGGGAAGGAAAAGACCCACCTGCTCCTTCCTAAAGCCATTTGGGATGGGGCTCATCCTGTAATTAGTCTTCAGCCTGATCCCATAGAGGAGGGGGCTGGACTGTACATGTAAGCAGGACTCTTGTTTCCTGGAAGGAACTGCTTGGAAACTGGTGGCAGGCCAAACCCAGTTAATTAAAATGTGTAATTATATATTATCATGGGGTAGTGCTAACGTCTATGTGAAATGATTGTATGTACTCCAGTGCTTTCCAAAATTCAAAGCTGCTTACCACTTCATCTGGTGGCGAGATGTCAGGCTGGGCTGTTCATTTCACAACAGCACCTCTTTGTCTTTATTGCTGAAAAAGGACCTTGCTGCAACCTGCCTGTCCCCAGACGCGTCAGAGGGACTGGGGCAGGGTCTGGCTCCGGCAGCCCCTGGGCTGCCTGCTCCGGTAACTCCCGGTAACCAGCTCCAGGACTTGGAACGGTGCTGCCCTACCACTGCAGAGATCCTGGCCCCAGAGAAAAGCTAAACTGGGGGACTGAGAGCTCCAGCTTCCACGTCCTTGAGGCAAGGGCATCAATAATCTGCTTCATCTGTAATCTACTTGCACTGGAAAAACATGGTTGCAGCTGCTCGCTCTCATTTATAGCTGGGGGAAGAAGAGCATTTATAGGTTACAGTAAAAACATATATTAAAAAAAACAAACCCAAACCTAGCAAAG